CACGCTTTAATACTCTAAAAATGGAGACAGTAATGCAAATGTAACGCTGCATGGGTGCGAGTTCCTTTCTTAGCATATAAACCAAGTGACGACATGTGGTTCTGCACGGCTCTGGAGAATGACTCATAAATAATAGTCTGGAAATCACTGGAAAGAAGTGATTTGATGACCAAATCAAATGGCACTGTAGTAAACTGGGACACGTATTCTCCTATGTAACCAGCCTGCATTCCTTCAGTGGTTGTGCACCAACTACAAGTTTAAAAAGACCGAAAGAACAGGATGTGCAGACGGACAGCACAAGCAGACCACGATGAAACGTGCAAAAGCCACAGTATGGCGCTGCGAGCAAGTGGCTGAACTGTGACGGGACTTCAAGCCTCAATGCCGCCTCTAATGAAGTAATGAAGAGCCGACTGGCAGGTTAATGGAAGCCAATTGACTGTGCGCTCTGCCACCAGCAGGAGACCAAGCAGAATACTAATCCTCGAGGAGCCACCTCTCTTTTGTTTCTCGTGTTCTGCCTAATCGGTTCATTTCCCCCCCCACTTCTAAAACACCAGCACTATTTACTGTGAAGATAAGATGGTGCAGAGCAACTTCTTCAACCTCCAGAGGACACAGATAGTGAATAGCTTTTGGAGCACTTTGCAGATTAGATCTTTCGCGGGGTATATTGAAAATCACAATAAACAGAAGTGTTATCCGAAGGTTGACGTGGGCACAATCTGTGGATAGAGACAAGGAAGTGTGTGTGTTAGGGGAGGGGGGGGTGTTCTTCGAGCATCTTCTTCTTTTGAGAAGTGAGTAATAAATTCACCTTGCCTGGCTGCCCTTTTAAAAGTAAAGCTATTCTAAACTCTATGCCTTTTTAGTGAACTGCAGCTGTCAGAGCTCTCATCAAGGCTGTACGTGTGCCAATTTAAATGTACGCCTGTACTTTACTGTGTTTGTGCATATATGCATGCATTTGCATGTGTGTGTGTGTGTGTGCAAACGCGCAAGCATTGTCTGCATCTCCTTTCATCTTCTAACAGGACTGACTACACTGGGTTTCACTTCGAGGTGGTGCTCCACTGTATGTTAAGTGATAGACAGAATGGTGATACAGCAGAATGCTAATCGCAGAATCAGAGGAGCGAGTGTAGCAGGAGCTACAGGCTACGCAATGAAGTGAGGAAAAAAATCCAACATTATGGAGAAGAAAAATAAAACAGAGCTGGTTAAGTAGGACAAGTTTTGCTTAAACAGATATGAAAAAGCCAAGTCAAAACAAATTAACTAATAATCTATGTGGGAGCCCCCCAGGATCTGTTCTATGCTCAAGTCCCTCTGGTAAACAGGAAGAAATAATAGCAAATAACAGCGCGCAGTCAAACATGCCAGCTCACAGTGGTTCAC